GTTCAGCAGCAGTCAACATTTTCAGATCTGGCGACGTGAGGCCGCCAACAACATTTCAGTCTATTTCTTTGCAACATGAATATTTAAAAGCAAGCCGGCTGCTCCTGTGCATATGAAATCACACCGTCGTCTGTGCAGTTTGGTAATCAGTGGTGACAGACTTCCAGAGCAGCAAATAAGGCCTTTCTTGTTCTCCTATGAAGGTGTGTGTGTTTAAAAAGTGAAAGTGTTCGACCAAAAGAAAATTGCACAACTTTAACAAGTTTTACACTCCATCATAGGTTTAAATAGTTCCCATTAAAACCAGTTCTACCCATCCTCACATACTAGCCTAATAAATGTAAAATAAAACAATAACAGGACGATTCACCTGAGAATGAAAAGAGGTCTGTGGCAGACACCAACATGCTTGTATTTAAACTGAACAGAAAGAACAAACAACAGTATATAAAATAGCTATGTATTTATACATATATACTCAAAAATGGTGTATAGATACTTTTTACTCTGTATATTTTAATGTAGTTGTATAGCAAGTTAAACGTGATACATTTTAATCTAACAAAGAATGCACTCCTGTCATCACTGCTCAGTTTGTAAAGTGCACTAAGTGACGAGCGCGAGAAAGAAACACTTCTGCCTTTTTAAACTGAAGAGAATGAAAACAGACATCTGCCTTGAAAAGCTTGTTACGAAGCCTGGTCCCATGGATGTGTGTGTGTGTGTGTGTGTGTGTGTGTGTGTCCTTTTCGCATCGGATCTGACAGACAGTTATGCTGGGCTGAAAAACATGCATACTGTACATGTAACTGCTGGAGACAAATGTGTGAATAAGAGAAAAGGAAGATGAACAAGTTCAGCTCTAACATTGCAGCGGCTTACACAAGAAACTGTGCAAGTCGAGTTGAAGGGGAACTTGTCTACAAAATGCCCAACTCTGTTGTCTACAAATCTACATTTGTACAGACATGCAAAAACACGTTAAACAAGAGCTGTGGCCACAGTGGGCAGTTATCAGGGAAAATATAAGATTTATAGCTTCTTCTTCACCATAGTCCATCTCTCACCTTTACACAACCACCGCAAGCTTGATTCAAAAGTGCCACTAATGAATCAGACTTGCCTGTATGAGCTCCATTTCAAAATGATATATTCACTATTTAAATTATATGGTTTTGCAGGTATAAACTAATTACGAAGCACTGTGGGGAAACCCACCCTCAAAACAAAACAAAGGATTTCTACTCTGAATGCAGATTACATCAGCTACTAACTTTTCCAAGAGACAATTCATAGCATTTTTAAACTAAACCCTTCAAATATAAAAGTGTTTCACTGAGGTACTGATACAAGATGAAGCACACTGACTCTGCAGCCATGAGCGCTGGAAGGTGTGTTGACTGAGGTTAATATGATTTGCTAAGGGCAAGATATGGCTACCTGCAGTGTTGAAGATTCAGTAGCATGATAAGGATCAGTTCAGTCACTTCTAATTGTAAAACCAAACAGTGGTGCATTTGAGAAATTTTTAAAAAGAAACACTTTTGTAAGATACTTTCACGTCTAAAGCTTGATGATATGGTTCTGTGTTAAACCTACACTGTACCTATGATGTAGGTAGTGTGCAGCCTTGCACCTTATGCAATAGATTGAAGTGCACTTCTCCAGAAATGTAACTGCACGTTGTGTTGACGCAGAGAACAACCGTGATTGGCTACATCGCATTTCCTCATTCATGCCTCTCAGTGGCCAGACAAGCCCGGAATATCAACCTCATTCTGCCTCAGCTGGTTCAACAGTCGTACAGACCATCTCCTCTGACATACATAGCATACGCCGTAGGCTCTGTGTAGATTAAAGGCAGAACCATAAATCAAGCTTTATTCAGCCTACAAAGGGAGCTGACAAAAAAACAAAACAAAAACTCATAATAACTGTTAATGAAATGCTGCAGTTCTTAATGTAGCGGCTCTTAACTTGCTCTCTGTATTTCATGTGAGCTACACAAACAAAAGACGGGGCGACTCTAGCAGCTGTTCAAACAGATATCAATAAGACAAGAATGTGGATGAGTGAAAAAGGAAGACTGCCAGTTGGTCGAAGGCGCATACATCAGGTTCTGAGTAAGCCTGTCCGCACACTGCAGTGACAATAATAGGCCATCAGAGTTCTGCACACAGTTTCATGTTTCCGCACACTCTCCAATGTTTGTTATTCCACTGCGAAGCCACAGGTTTCCTCAATCGCCGTCAGCAGCTTGTCATACAACTTGTCATAGCTCTCGTAGGGTGGAATGTCAATCCGATTGAAGCTGGAGAGAAGACACAGAGAGAGAGAATGAGTCCACATGAATCAAGCTACAAGAGAATGACCCTGAAAAAAATAAATGTGTGTACGCGTTTGTGTCTCCAGGTACATGACACACACCAGGTGTGGGCTTTGGGCAGATTGTTGGTGTTGGCATCGATCTGATGAATGGTGAAGAGTCTGGGCCCTGCAGCACCTGCAGTCAAAACACAAAGAGGATCCATCAGGTGCAGTTTAGCATCACATTCTGTTGTTAACCCAAGTCGTAATCTAGCGCTGTTCACCTGCGCACAGCTAGACAAGCTGCACGCAGCCAGACGAACTCAGCTTCTCTTCCTGGAATTTTCTATATTTTTATGTTGCGGTTATGCTCGACACACTGGCCATGGCCACGCACCAGCTGTGATGTCAGCACAGAGCCAGAACTGTTTATTCTCAGAAGAAGTAGAAGAACAAATGTACAGGAAACACTAAGCTAACTAACCGACTAGCTAGCCCACAGATATTGAACCTACAGAACAACTGAATGAGTGCTTGTGTGGTAGCTTTCTACCTAGCCAGCACACCAAGCCACAGATGTCTGTATAGGGTCATGTTGAATGTCTGAAGAGACAGACCTGCTCACACACTCTTGACCCCAGCTTGTCCATTTCCTGTTTGGCAGTTACAAAAATTGAGAGGCGTGTGACCTGTTGATCCAACACCAATGCGCACATGCCATGCCAGAAGTTGTAATGTCATTTTTGACATATCATATTTGAGCACGTCAACATAATGGCAATTAATTTCTTAGCATTTAACAACATATTCATGCGGGGGGGGGGGGCTACAAAACCATTGGGACTGACAGTCCAACTAGAAAACCGGTTAGCACACACAGTCAGGTGGGTACCCTGTAAAGCCTTGAAGCCTTGCAGCGGGACTCTGGATGAGCCAGTAACAAACTGCAGCAGTCGGGCCCTCCTCTCCTCATCAAACGATTCCACAGCTTTCCAAAACCACTTGACGATGTTGCTGTCTGGGGTGCAGTGCTTCAGACGGGTGTTGGACTTCCAGTCTGAAATGTCGATCTTTCCCAGGCCACACACTATCAACTGAAAGTAAAGAGGGACAGAGAAACTGTGATATTCACGTAAATTCATCCTCAAGCAGATTCTATTAAATCAGTATTTAAAAATGTGTTTTCTGTCTTGGAAGTCCCATAAAAATAAAAACGATGCACAACTAAATGAGTGATCTGGTTTTGTGTGTGTGTAAGAAGGGATGCTGATGAAAGCTGTGACTTTGAAACAGCCTTGTACTGTACCTCCAGTTCCTTCTCGTCAAAAGTTTTGAGCAGATGTTGAGGGATGACCTCATTGAAGCCTTTCTGCAGGGCAAGAAACTGAGCTTCGATGCCATGCAGAAATCGCCAGTTCACATACAAGCTGCAGAAAAGAAGAGAGAGGAGGAAAAAGAAGAAACACAGAGGGTGTCTGTCAAACACAGATTCATCATCGTGACACTGAAACTGGCACTTACTGTGACAGTCTGGACTGCCACACAGCGTTTATGAGAACACAGTGAAATGTTAGAAAACATGGTGGGGGCTGAAACTGAACTTGTGTATTGCATGTTGTTGTTGTCACATTCTTGTTTTTGTGTTTTCACCCTTCTCCATACCGGACATACTCCTTCTCTATGTGTTCAGCCTTCTCCATACCGGACATACTCCTTCTTCGTGTCCTCTGTGACGGGAATACTCTTGCCGCTGGGCTTCAGTTCATGCTGAATGATTTCTCCATAGGCGTTGTGCTCCACACAAAAAGTGTGGTCCAAGACGCCTGTGATGTCATTGTCCCTGAGCAGAGAGAAAGTACAGTGTGTAGCAACAGCAATCAGCTCGCACCTTCATTTTATTTCTTTCACATTAGGAGAGCAAAATAAAGTTATAAAAAAGCAGTAATCTGCAATCACCAGATCATATTTTTAAAGTATAGGGTTTAAGGTCCCATCAAGATCAACAGAGCATCCTCATGTAGAAAACAACTGCCTTTTAAAATATATGTACCTTGATGTTGCATCAAAATGTGCAAGAACGTGATCATTTTTTTAGATCATGTGAACTAACAGCAGAGGGCGCTGCAGTCACTAGAATTGGTTGGATTTTGCAAACAGTTGAGCACAACGGTGGTTAAGTTTGTGTCTGGATCCAAAGTGAATGTGCTCTATCCCGTTATCAAGTGCTTTTTTGTATATTTCTTTTCTTCCCTGTATACATGACACATGTGCAAATAACGGTAAAGCACATTAAAGAGAGAATAAGTAGAAACAGAAGGCCAGCACAAAGTTAAAGCAAGTTTAAAGTGTTGAGTAATACCATAGTCCCACTTGTGCCGACATAAAAAAGGCTTTTGTATTTAAATGTTAATACTGGTAGTATGTGTGTTTTCACTAACTTTGGGTTGTCAGTGCAGAGCATTCAAAAAAATAATAATGGGTTGGCAAAAAAGGGCCTTACAGAATCCAGACAAGGCTGTTGTGGAGGTCGGGGTCAACAGACTCCATATCGTCCAGCGTGATCGGCTTTCCCAGCAGCTGTTTGTAGAAGGGCAGAGTGAAGCCTCCATCAATGTAGTGGCCGTGGAACACCGCCATGCCCATGATACGACCCACAAAGTGGAAGTACGACAGGTGCTCCTGCAGAATAAACCGGGGATATTAATGAGGGTTTTCAAAACTCAACTCTGAGCTGCATATCAGTTGTTTAGGCAAACAATCAGTGTTCAGAGGACTTCAATGCCTTCTGTCCCCACCACAACATTCCCAGGTTCATTATTTTCCAGTAACGACAGAACATCAAAAGAGTAATTCAGAGGAGTGATAGTTCAATCAATCTCATCATAATCTATAACATGCAAAGAATCATTTTTCCAAAAACAAGTCAAAATTTAAGACTGCCGTGAAACCTTAACAGCAAATTTCTTGTAAATGTCTGACACGCACATTGCCATTTATTTTCTGACTTTAGCTTAACCATCTCATGATATCCTAGGAGCATTTGTACATATTCGAATAAAAAGGTAACTTAATTTAGTTGTCTGTGTTCCTGGCTACCTACTGGATTAATATGTCTACAGTACGTTATAACTTTATAATGCTAAATCATTCCTACTGGGTTGACTGCAGAGTCAGGGTTAATCTGTAGAGTGTAGATGTCATCTCTGGAGTACTGGAACAGGCCATAGTAGGGATTCAGCATCTCGTGGGACAGCAGGTATAACCATTCCCTAACACACACACATAGATTCAGTGTGAAACATGTACTTCAAATATTTAAGACATCATAAACAGAAAAATACATGACTAATTACCTTGCTACCCCACCATAGTCCAGTCCCTCCTCTCCTCTGAATTTGATCATCAGTCTTTTCCAGAGATCCTTTGGACGCATCTTCATCACCTGTCGGTACGACTCCTACAATTCAACAGATACAGCAGATTTTATATTACACAGTACACAAAACCATATCACACCATAGAAACTTCAGACATACCCGGTACCTAAGATGTGTAGGATAAATAGCAGCCATAAATCAAAGCAGCCTTGTCTGTTCAGCTGTGTGAGCAGTGTCAGTACACTTTGGTTAGATTAAGTTAATGAAAGTGCTTTGCTTAGGTTGTGCAACTATGAAGGTTAACATCAAAGCATTACTGTATTCTTTGGAGATATAGAGCTATTTCCTCTTAACGAACATGTAGAGCAGGCAGAAAACACTTGTCACAACAGCTTACTTCTGGACATTAATAGCATTCAGGAATAATGTGGAAAAACAACTAAATACCTTTTTAGACTTAAAACTGCATGAGACCCAGAAACAGACAACCGATGGCTGCAGTGAAATCAAACAGCTGGTGTTAATGGAAACCAGCTGAACAACAGTAAGTTGTTTGTAGCAAGTGGTGACAAAGGTCTGCAACTCGGCTCGAGGATGACAGGGCCGGGTTTAGGATAATTATCTGCTGGTTCAGAACAGGGTCATGCTTAAAGTGGTGTAAATGTTACCAGTGCTATATTTTATGTTAAGTATTTTTCAAAATAAATGATTATAAACAAATGATTCCAATGCATCTTTATGATTTTTTTCCCTGCCTCCCTTCCTTGTGGCCCTCTCAACAGTTAGTTAAACTAACAGTGAGTGTGCTTCCTTTTTACACTGCATAGCACATCTCTCTGTCTGCCCTCTCCGAGGAATCCTGAGACTCAAAGGTCATGCCACAATAAGCAGCAACAGGCCTCCTGCAACTAAGAAAGCATGACAGAACTGGGCTGCACAGAGCAAACTGCAGGCTGAACATACATATCTGAAATACTTTATTTGGTCTTGCTAGTACAAGATTCTAAGGAGTCCTAATGGTGCAGATGATGTCTTTTACAACAAGGCTGCAGGCAAACGCTCAGAGCTCAGGTATGCATCCAGCTCAGCAAGTTGATGAAGAGGAAAAAAAAAAAAAGGTACAGAAAGTGTCCAAAAAATTAAAGCCCACCTTTGCATTAATAGCACAATGTGCATCAATTGGGACATTATATATTTGTGAATCACATGCCAGCTGTGGAAAATAACACATGTAAATAGGAGTCACTGTAACGCACAAGAGTGTGCATTACAGTGGCAGTCATAAACTGAAATGCTAGTTCCTGAATGAAAGCCTCAAGTGGATCTGCAGATCTCAACTTTCCCCTTCCACAGCTGTCACGTCGATGGAGGATGAAGTCATATTTTTCATTGCTCAACTTGTAGTTATGAAGTTATGTCTGGCCCTGAATACTTGCCACTGCTGCTTTAACTCCCTTCTTTACTTGCTCCTTCCCCCCTCCCTGTCTCTTTAGCTGCTGAAATCATCCAGAAGGAATGCCTTTGCCTTGGTAGAACAAATGACTGGGAGAGCAAGGAAAAGAGAGAGAAATCACTTTTTTTGTGATGTTGTGAAGGTGTTTCTGTTCTGCTTTTCTCTGGAAGCCATAAAGTGGTTCTGAGTACTGGTTCTGTGCTGCCCCAGGCTCTTTTCTGGCAAACATCTTCAATAGGGTGAAGAGAACTCTAGTACAATGCAAAACTCTGTTTTTGCTATTGTTTCCATGGACATTAAGACATTTGCATGCCAGCACATGATGCTTTGAATGAAGAGGATGGATTTTAAGGACATACATCAATGCACATTATACAAGCCCATGGTAAATTCTGTGATGTTATGCATTAATATGTGCGTGCATGTGCAGCTGTGTTCAGCAGTGCTTCAGATGTTTCCTTTTATGGTTAAAGGCACATCAGAAATTTCAGGTTAGAGTGTAATGTTTTTGAGTATCACAACTGTTTTTAGACAAGCACTTGCACTACTAAAGTGAAACACTTGCATGATGGTTCATGATCTGTGAATATAAAAGAAGGCAATGTTGGTGTTCATTTTGCAATCTAGGTAGCATGCAGGTTCTTAAGAGCATTAAGCTATTAAAACAAGTGCATTGTTATCATTTTGTGTGTGTAAGAAGGCTCATGAGTCATTTGGGTGTGTAGTACATTTTTTTCTACCTCAAATATCTCCTCCCGGCAGACCTCGATGCGGCAGTGGCCAGCCTGGGGTTGCTGCTGAGACAGCTCTTGCCGTAGGGTCTTCAGCTTCTGCACCAGGTCTCTCTTGTATTTGGGCACAGTCAGGCACTCTGCCTCTTCAGGTAGCTGGGCTGGAGACAGAGCTTGCTGAGGGACCCCTGGACCAACCTGGTCCTTCAACTGAGTCAGATGACTGGAGGAATAAGGTGTGTTGAAAGGAAGGCGGAAGACAAAGGAGGGATGGAGAGCGAGAACAATACAGGATGAAAGGGCAGATGAGTGACAAAGGAGGGACAGAAGGCAAAAGAGAGAAGAGTTATATGTTAGGATGAGTCTTCATTTACTTCTGCAGTTTGAACAGTTTGTTGTGAGCTGCCCTTTCTAATGAGCTATTTCCATTTTGTGTATTGCAGCTCTTTACTGTCACAGGGATACTGTAATTTTTCCTCATGCACTGCTACTTCTTCAGTGGAGGCAACTGATGCAAAGATGGAAGCAAGAAGGATATTTCCTGCAGGGAATTCCCAAGCCTGTCCACCTCAGATATCCTCTAACTGCTGAACTAGGTAATTTTGTAAGAAATTCTCTTAGCCCTCACCCTCCTCACTCCTCTCAGAGCACAGAGCACTGAACAGAGCCCTAAACCCTGAGTAAGGCCTTGATCAGACAGTTTTGCTACCTGCAAAACATGAGGGGCATTGCACTGCCATTTTTATGTCTTAAAATAAAGAGCAGGTTGTTGCATCCTTTGGTATTTAAACGTCTAGCCTATTGAAATGTTTATATGTTTATAACATATAACTGTCCTATAGTACTTATTATATAAGCATAAAACATGGACAGGCAGTGGGCAGTTGCTCTTGCTCTGGCTGAGGATAAGAGACTGTTGTCAGATACACTGGACACACAGAAACACAGGTCTGTGTGGGTACAGGACACCCATAGAAACTGGAGATTACACCGATGACGGTTGCTTCAGGGCTATTTTAGGAAGAGCCAGGACAATGTGACAATCTGCTGTCAGCTGTCGAGTCTTGTATCACCAAAATGACCATCAATTACACAGTACATGAGTCCTACCGTGCAGCTTAGTGTTTGTCTATTTCGAGTCACCACCACAGAATGCTTGCCTTTCAATTCATTGGATTGGACAATGGAAAACCACCAAAAAATGCGAGGCACTCAGCAATGCAAAAGCTGCACAAAAAACACTTCAGTCTCATTAAAAACAATTACAAAAAGCTGTCTCATGCTGCTAAAACGCACTCCGATCTAAATCTGATCCAGACCTGTGGACAGGCTGGGTCTCTGACCAGACACCTGGTAAATATCACCACCAGGAAAGACCGAGCACGGGAGATAAACCCTGAGTAAGCAGAGAAAGAGAGACATACACAAAGACAAGAAAAAGGGGGGGAAGAAATATACAAAAGGAGAATAGTGTAAGACAGGGATTTCCAACCAGCTGTGACCCAGGGACCACCATTCTGACTAAGTACACTGAGGACAACTGTTGTGGGGTGGATAGACCAAACAGGCCCATTTTAATCCTGAAAGTCATCTTGGCTTTTCTAATTTGTATGAATCAGATTATTAACAAACAGTAAGCAATATATAAAAATATGTTTAAAATAAAAAATAATGTGTCCTACAGTGAAACTACATTATTGAATGCATGGTCAGGGACCACCTGTAATTCCTTCAGTGACCACCAGTTCACCCCTGGTTGAAAACCCCTGATGTAAGTGAAGCTGGCATGTGGTTCTCTTTTCCCTCTTCCATCACACATTTCTCTCCATATCTAACCTCTGTAAATCGCATTTTTTTACTCTAGCTGTTCCTCAAGTCTTTTGCATCCCAAGACATCTTTATTCCTGTCTGAAGCCTAAAGAAGCAGGCAGCTGAGGTTGATTCCCGATAGCTACCCTTGCCCACCACCAACCACAAGTGGAACTTCCATCATCTGACCACTAAAGCTGCCTCCCTTCCTCTTGCATTGGAGTGAAAAAACCATCAACATTTGTGCAAACTGCAAGTCTAGTTTCTGTCAACAGGACAGTGAAGATGCTTTTCTTTGGGCTACACGTCATGTTCTGGTCAATGCAGAATGCAGCCATTGTTCTGAGCTGTTGTCTGCCTGGCAAAAGTGAAGCAATTTCAGAACAAGTGTGGGAAAAGATGTGAGCACGGATGCAAGCCTGTCACATAGTGGACCAAGAACCTAAATCCTGACCTTCTGCTCTCTTGCCACTCAGGGCCTGTATTTTCTAAGAAAAGATGAGATACAATTTTGGCAGAGGTGAGCCATGGTCAGTTCTAGTTCTGGCCTACTCCCACCCTTACTGTGGTGTTGGTGGTTAGATGCCTGGGTGGGCCTCCTAAAAACATAATCTATGTCTCCCTTCAACAGGACAGCAGCTCTCATTTTCCTGTAAGGAGACGCTGAGCCAGCAGAGGACTGATTTAAAAGAAGCTACTGTCTTCCGCTGGGAGTAGAGTGTCAAGGCTGCTGCTGGCCAAACAAAGACGGCACACCAAGAGGCCTGACTGGGTATATAAGGAGAATTAGAGGCCTCCTAATGTAGCAGCACACATCCACCCACTTATTCCAACACTTGTTGTACCCTTGGGTTCTCTGGTTCAGTGGGTTGACAAAGGCCTCTATTTGGGCTTTCCAAACTAAACGGGAGCAGTGTTTCGCCAGTCTATCCCTGTATAATCAAGTCTGCTGCTATTTATTTTATTGGCAGGCACTGGGGTTCCTAGCATGTCAAAGAAAGGGTAAGACTGCAGCAGACCAGTGCTGAAAACCACTTTAGGAAGGAGGAGGCAAAGAAAAGACAGCCTTAAAACTAAATGGAATGAGTTGCCTTTGGCTGGGAAGTGCAAGAACCATATAATAACTCATAATGTCAGCACACTTGTTTTTCATTCTGAGGGCATGGTGCAATTAAAAATAAGTTTCAACATAGTTCATTGTCTCTGGTTTCCAAATGGGACAAGCTCTGCTTATTTGATTGTAAATATAGAAAACAAGAGTACCGCAAAGCTGAAAATCTGTTCTAGCCAAAGGAGGAAAATGGTTCCCGGTGCTGTGATAATTTGGGTGAAATACAATGACTGGGGAGAAATATAGACTTTCTAAATCAATGTAAGAGAGCCAGAGAATTTTATTATTGTTATTCCAAGGTAGAAGCAGTGGGACAAAAAGAAGCTAGAGAAGTCTACAAAAGACCACCTGCACCTTCCATGATAGCCCTCCATCCAGCAGACTGGATGTGTGTTAGATGAGAGAGTGCATGCAGAAGAGAACAGGTCTGCATGTTTACTTGCTTTTTTCCTCTATGGCAGCAGGTACAAGTGGACTGCACCGAGTGCTGAGCAAGAGTGGTGGTGTTAAAGCTGCACCAGCCACCACAACACACTCACTCTGCCCCCCCACTCAACACAATAAATGAAAAGGCCCTTTATGAGTTGATCTGATCAGAGTTCAGGCTGGAGAGGACAGCAAGGTCGGGGTGGGGGGACCATAGCTGCTGACTCGGCAGAACATGGAGTCAAAATGTGTTTATATATACCGAATTATTTACTTGGACAATATAAAGACAACACAGATTTGCAAAATTTCTCCATTAAAGAAAATCATATGCTTTTGCTTGACTTTATAGTGCAATTTCCCATGAAAAATATGTCTAAACAAAAGCACTCAGAGAGCGCATGTACCTCTGCCAAAGCAAACAACCGTCGCTCACGCAAAAGGGTCCCTTGTGAAAATAAGATCCAGAACAACACAAAATGTGTCCTAAAATTGAATTGGATCTGGATAATCTTTTAGGGTTTGATAGGCAGTTATACTGTGCACATTTCAGGGTTCTATCTTAATCAGAGGCCAAGTTATGGCAGAAAATGTGCATTAAATGGCTTTTTCAATGTTAAATTTAAATGGCTGACAGATCTGGACTCCAAATCAGATCCAGATGAAATTTGGTCTGGTGATAGACACTGCCACTCTACATCTGTGTCAAATTTCAAATGATTTCAATAACTTTTGATGGAGATATTAATTTTAAACATTCTGCCACATTAAAGTTTGGAATTTTGGTGATTTTCATTATTTTTTGTGACCTTGACCTTTGGCCCCTTTCAGCCAAAATCTAATCAGTTCTAGGATTGGTGCCCACCAATGTCTGTACCAGGTATGCTGATGATCCATCCAGCCGTTTGACCATAATCCCACCAACCAACAAACACACACACACACACACACACACACACACACACACACAGTACCAAAAACATAACCACCTTGGCGGAGGTCAATATGGCAAAGTTGCTAACCTAGAACAGCCCGTATACAGTATGTGAGGGTAAAACATAAACTGTGTCTACCAACTACAAAGTAGCACACTGAGCATACAAACAAAACAGAAGTCGTTTGTTAAGAATTAAATTCTTTGTGTAGGACACAAAGAATTCAAACTTTCACTCAACTTGTCCTCCCCTGTTCACTCTTTACAAACTCAGTCCTTTAATACATGACATACTGACAGAACATTTGCGCTGCTACATACACTGCTAAGATGACTGGCATTTACTCTATCATCAAATCATATGTGAGGTTGTTAAGTACAGTACAAATCAACCAGTACTCTATACACTGTACACATATGTGGGATTTATGGCAAATTCAATCATTTGCACTTATCTTAAACATGCCACATACCCGCAATGTACTAAATACAATTATTAACTGCTTAAAATCAATTGATGCAAAAATTGAAATAAATATCATGGAAATTTATGTTGGGCAATTACCTGCTGAAGTTCACTACACCTAAATTTAGTGCCAACAAAAATACCTCCAGCAACCACTGATGTAATCTTTCAGACATATACCACGTGCTGGTGCAAGTGAGGAAGCAAAGTATGTGAGAGACCGTGTGGCAGACCACAGTAATGTAGCTGTGTCTGACTGTCTGACAATTCAAGGCCTTCATCAGTCTGAGGTCGAAGGCAGCAGGGCTGTCTGAGCCACATTTGAACCCAGATGTGCCCTGGTTGACTGGCAGACTGAATTGCACACTGCAGACTCAGTGCTGCAATAGCACATCTGGTTACACGCCATCCTATCTCGCAGACAAAACACATCCTGTTCTGTCAGATAGACAAAAAAATACTGCTACTAAACAAAATGTGTTAAGAGATGCAAATTAAATCAACCATGGCTGAGCTGTAGCTTACAAAAAAAAGTGTCTGCAGTTTTTATGAAATGACGGGTTTTATACATTTTCATTTGTATTTCAAACAACAGCACAATAGTGTTTGCAAGTTTGAAATGTGACTTTTAAGTAATAACACTAAAGCTAACATAGTAAAAGCCACATATTTGACAAGTTTCATCACTGAAAAAATACTTATGATTAAAACAAAGCTAGAAAAAGCCTTAAGCTGATTAAATGTTAAAAATGGAGACTTCCAAACAAATAAATCAGCTTCTGAGAGTTTTCAAAACCTTTCACGTTTTGCACACTTTGTGTGGTAGATTTAATGTCAGCCTACACTCAAAAACATGTAAAGACAAACAGTAAATGTATTTAAAATTCATTTCATTTTCTGAAGTATTCATATGGTTAATTCAGTACTTTGTAGAAGCACCTTTGACAGCAATTAACAGCGGGCAAACCTTCATCCCAGTCTCAGGTCACGTGCACTCTGGAGCAGGTTTTCTTCAGGGACCTTTCTGTATTTGGCTGCATTCATTCTTTCCTCAGTTCTGACCAGCGTCACTATTCTTACAGCTGAGAATCACCCCCACAATACGACATTTCCATCACTGTGCTTCATCATAGGGATGGTTTTAGCAAACGATGAGCAGTGCCTTTTGTAGCAGACACAGTGGTTGGAGTTCTGTCCAAAGAGCTCAGTTTTTGTCTCATCAGACCAGAGAATCTTTTACTTATTCATGCTTTACGAGTCCACGTGTCCACTATGGTTGGGTGACACCATTTCTGTCCTCTACCCAAGGCCATGTGGACAATTTTCGGCCTGCCCACGGATATCCACCCAGGTTCAGTGTGGACTGTCTGTGCAGCAAAGTGTCAGCGTATGCGCAAAGAAGGCTCACCTTCAATCTGACGTATGAATAGGAACATGTGCACGCCCTTCGTTCGTGTTCTTATACGCACGCAGGTGTGTGCAAAATAAGAAGAGCCCTGGTGGTTCCAAACTTCTTCCATTTCACAATTATTGAGGCTGCTGTCCTCCAGGGAACACTGAAAGCTTTAAAAATGTTTTTTATAACCTTGCACTGACCTATGCTTTGCCACAGTTTTAATCACAGACATCTCCAGAGAGCACCCTGAACTTCATGACTTGGCTTTTGTCCTGACATGCAGCGTGAATTGTGGGACCTTATTGTGTGTGCCTTTCTAAACTATGTCTAATCAATTCCGTTTGCCAGAGGTGGACTTCAATCAGGTTCTGCATCTAAAGGAAAAGAAAATCAAACAGGATGGAGCTGATTTCCTAAAACATATTTTATTGAGCAGACTGATGGACAAAACATTTCAGTTTTTTTCCATTTAAAATTAAATCTACAGTAGATAAAGTATCAGAACGTGAAGCGGTCTGAATACTTGCTGAAGCCACTGTACTAGAAGGTAGTGACAACACTGTGTTAACATAACACCAGCTGCACTCGTATGCAAACCTAAAGCAGCGCCTCGGGATCGAACAGTTTCCACTGACAGAAACAGACTTTCATTATTTCATTATTAGATTCCATCACTCTCTTGTCAGGTCACTGCTGACTTGACTTCCAGTTTAATCAAAGCAAGTCTCTTGCCTGTAGCTGTTTGACTGCCTGACCATCTTTGTTTTCTTCTTTGCCAACTGCTATATTTTATTCTTTTGATTCAATTTTGTGTCTGTCTGCCAGGAAAAAGAACAATAACATTAAATAGATAAAAGTGCTCTCCGGCAATAACAAAAACATTTTCCAGATGGATTTTTGCTTAAACCCCGCACATCAGCAAGAGACAACATACATTCAGCTGGTCCTAACATGCAACACCCCCCACAACCGTCACTTTCAATCTTTCTACATGGAAACAGGTCACTGCAGAGCTGCATAATAGTAGGCTCATGGTCTGCCTATATGTAGTGATGTGGTGGACGTATGTGAATGTTGGGTGAAATATTCTTAAATTCTGGCCTTGATAAAAGACAGAATTCCCGACACTTGCATCTCCCCATGTGTCCACTGCATTGCTGCCTTTTGCTGTTGTTTTGTATGGCCCTCATTCACTCACCTTGTTTAGATTTGAGCCTCAACCAATAAACAATTCAACACTATGTTTGCATCAAGACCATTTAGCGTGGCCAATAAAATGCAGTGTTTCAGAGTCAATAGGCAGTCTCATCACCACAGTCTGCACTACACTACTCTAAGTATTGATTCACCAATCAGGAAAAAAATATATCTTAAAACTAAATATGTTTTGAAGAATTGAAGTTACTTTCTTTTGACGCCAAGACTTGGACCAATCAGCCATAACATTATGACCACTGACAGATTTCTTGGCACCTGTCAAAATTCTACTTTAGCATTTTCCAAAAATCAGCTCATTTAGAAAATAGTCAAAGCCAGAATAATAATCTTATTTGCTTGTGCATCAATTAGACTTATTTCAAGAATATGAAATAAGAACTCCAAACTTGACATTGTCTTAAGGCATTTTAAAATATTTATACAAAAACTGGCCAAATAAAGTACAAATGCTGTGGCACAGACTGCATGTAAATGGTGTTTTAATTTTGTTTTTATTAATCAGGGTGTATCACAAAAAAAAGCTGCATTGGAAATTTGAGTTTGCTAATTTGATCCTTTTTAAACATCTCTCGAAAATCTCTCCTAATAAGGTGGCAGCCATGTTTTTAATGATGCTAACTGGACAACATATTGTGCCTGAACTCCCAAGCAGAGGTTTATCTGGCACACAAAGATTCTCTGACTAAATAACCAGATGTTGATTTCCCAAACATGTAATGCTGCTGTTACTGCATGAATTTGCACCATAAAAAAACAACTAAAAAAAAATCTCCACATCTCTGTGTTTGTCTTGTTCTCTCTCTCACACAGTGGCAGGGTGAAATTAAGTTTTCAACACTGGTTCAGATACTCACAGGTGCCTTCTGCATGAATATCACAGACTCCTTCACAAGCCATGATTTCCACTAAGAGCTAACAGTGCTGAAGCGTTTAGCCCCTGTGTGTTCAGCAAGGCTATGAGAAGAGGTGCTAAGCTAACAACAGCTGCTCTGCTAACATGTGTTTAGAATTATTTTCCTCAGTGGGGTTTGTTTCACCAGGCCTCTCTGGTGGCTTAGCCGGCTACAAGCTGAGCTTTAGCAGAGGCAGACTGTTGACAAAGAGCGCAAAACACACTGAAAGATGGACTGACAAGGCCCTGATACCGACAGTTAGCCTGCCTGCGTGTGCATGTGTTGAATTTGAATGGCATCCACATGAAAGTCGACCATGAGTAAGGTTACACAAAACATGCATGTGTATACATAAACACACAGTGAGTGGATATTCCTCTGTGGAAAACTATTACAATCAGCATTTTCCCTCATAATAGGATAAACTCTGTGTGTATTATTCACATTGTCAGGACCAAAACCTAATTATACACTCACATGTTTACACACACACAAATGCTGATATCCACCATGTAAATCACTGAATTTTAAGGATGCTGATATTCACCATGTAAATCACTGAATTCTAAGGTGATAACATGGTTTAAGTTTAGGGTAAAGGTTAAGTGTTAGGCAAGTAGTATTTATAGTTTAGGTTAGGATAAATCTGTGTGTGAGAAACTTTGAGTGACTGGCTGCTGAAACTGCTTTATACAGACAACTGTGGAGAAGAGTATGAGGATTTATGTCAACCTGTGTGTGCTGATTTCCTTGTTCACACGTATGTCATAGATCATGTACAAATATGCATACACTGTTTATTGTCTGCACACAAGTATGTGAACATGCTTGTCTGTGTGTGTGTGTGGGTTACCTGAGGTTAGTGTTTTGGCTGTCCGTGGCCACACGGGAACCATTTGTACTTGGGCTGCTGTGAGAAAACAGGAGGAAAAGACAGAGAGAGACATAAAAGAGGAGGTGAAAGACAGAAAAGGGTTGGAGTATTAAACACAACAAGGAATTGGATTAAAAAAAAAAAAAGAACCATGAGATGGGACAGGACATGTGACACAGAGGAGAGAGGGTAAAAGGAAACAGAGATATAGCATAAAAAGAGATGAAACAAGAAAATGGGGAGAAGGGAAATAGAAGAGGAAGTACAAAGAAGGAGGAGACACAAAAACAGTAATAAAGTACAACTATGGACCAATATATAAAAAGAAACTGGATGAAAAGACAGCAGTCAGTGAAAATACCAGAAAGATTAAGAAAGTAAAAGACCACTGGCAGATACCCAAGAAAGACAGAGCAAAAACAAGATGAGACGAATGAAGCCAAGACAGTCATGAGTGATTATCTTATAACAGACATATTCATTGCCGGAGGATTCACGACTGTAGTGTGTATCACAGGTTCCCAAACAGTTTCCCCTTCTCTTCAGTGTATTCTACTTTCCCCAGACAGGAGTCATCATCTCCATTTCCAGGATGGATATGGTGAGTAGGAAGTTACTTTTAACACTAAGCGGCTTACAGTCCTCGGTAGGAAATACAAATGGAGCAGAAAGTGTCTCTGAATCTCATCCACTAAGAGCAATGAGCTGAACCAAATGGTTTAAGTGTTTAAAAGATGCCATATTAGACACTGGTCTCATATAAATGTGAGAAAAAGTAAGTGTCCCTATTTCCTTTTCCAGGTCTTTTGTCTCCGTTTGCATCTCATGGTCAAGCCCCTCAGTAACAAACTCTTTGCTTGCTGAGATTGTTACAGGATATCTGGCATCTTATAGCGATCAAATGGCTTTACAGTCATAATCCCTTGGTTGTTGTTTCACAATAAAATTTGCTGTTGGTCTGTGTTTTTGTCACTATTATTCTGAGTATTCAGAGCAGAGGCGACTTAACAATACAAAAGAACAGTAAATATACAGATTTGCATGCAGAAATATATCCGACCATTTCTGTTTTGGAAAAACTTGTATGTAAATGCGCAGACAGAAAAAAAAATACCGGAATATAAAAAGTTGTATTTTATACACCACTGGTAACACAAATGTCCTTAAATAACCTGTCTGTGGGGATTCAAATCCTTATGGATTGATACACTCACTTGAGTACTAGATGCAAGTTAGCAGACAGCCGCGGGTCTGTGAACTGTGTTGTACGATTGTTGTGGTCGACAAAGTAGACACGGCCGGTGGCTGTGTTTCGGATCTCCCAGCCTGGTGGCAATGGGCCAAGCTCCTCACAGTTCACATTGCTTAGGTCCCTGGACAAAACAGTTAGAAGCGATTAGCAACAATGACACTACGAATTAAATGCAACTCTAAAGTAAACTAAAAATAGATACACTGATGCTGCATAGAACTAACAGGCCTGCTGACTGAACACCTATTCAATGAATCTTTTATTTTTAACCAGGGAACATTACATTAAATATTAATATATAATTTACTATTAAATATAAGACATTTTAATAGCTGTAATTAAATGTTAGCTTTTCACTGACAAATCTTGTACTGGTAAACGCAATGGCATATGGGTTGTCATTAATATTTACATGAAGGTTGTACGTATATAAAGATTCAGCCAGACAGACCCGGTCTTTAACAGACCCATGAGCTACAGCAACATTAACACTGCCATCATCCTTGTGACAAAGTACTTGCTCTAATTTTTTGACTCTTTTTCTGTCCAGTACACTGACATTACTGTAGGCAGAAACTAAAGTCCTGATCTGAGACAACACTGCAGTCTAAAGAGGGCTTCTGCCTTTGTTTTGTGTGTGTGTGTGTTAATACTTTGTCCTTGGTGTGAAGTAATCACACTCATCACACTGTACTGGGTCATAATAGTGGCTCTGTCCAAAATGACCAAACCCAGAAGTTGCTGTTGTGAGTTGCATGTTCTACTCATGTGCTTCATCACTACACCAAGACGTGGCCAAAAAGGTAACGCAATAGCACTGCCTGCAATCTCTGCTGAATTAAATAGGAGCTATTGAGAGTTGGTGAAGCAGAATGATTGGATGCAGAACCCCTGCTCTTTGGTGTGCTCTGCTCAAAATCTGTCCAAAAAACTTCTCCCGGTTCCACATCGGACTCAGAGGTCATTAGTCTGGCTAACCCTGACTTCAGCCTGAAATCTGACTAATAAGAAAGTTTTTGAAAACAACCATGAGCAACCAAGTCACAAATTAGGTCTGATCCAAACCAGTCAAGTCCAGTTTGGTCCTGTCAGTCTTGGGAACATACAGTATGTCACATTGGCTGTGAGCACTGTGGTGCATTTATCATGTCCAGCCATCCATTATCTACACCCCTTATCCTTTAGAGGTTTGTAGGAGGGCTGGAGCCAATCTCAGCTGACACTGAGCAAGAGGTGGGGTATACCCTGGACAGGGTGATGGTCTATCCACAGGGTTGACACACAAACAGACAGCCACTCACATTCACACCTATGGGCAATTTAGAGTTGCCAGTTAACCCAACCTGCATGACTTTGGACTGTGGGAGGAAGCTGGGGTACCTGGAAGAAACCAGCGCAGGCACAGGGAGAACATGCAAACTCCACACAGAAAGGCCCAAGTTGAGCAACATTTATCACCTGTTGAAGTTAATGTGCTGATAATTTAGAGAATTGTGCTAATATTAATAGCACCTAATAGCATTTTTCTAAAGAGACTTTTAAAGTGCTTTACAAGAAAAAAAATCTGAGTAACAACAAAAATGGGGTTAATGCACAGAGGAGTTACCTGGGTACTCGGGGGTCATGCCAGGTACTGACTCCCGTCTGTGTATGGAGGAAGTAGACCTGGCCCTGCTGAGTTGTTCTTTGCTCTAAGAAAAAAGAGAAAGTAAGTTGAATTAATGTGTTAAAAGACAAAAACAGTAATGAAACAAGGTTGGAAGTGTTGCTGAGACTGGGTACAAGTGTTTGTATACTTTGGACAAGGGAAAGTCTATTTATAACTGATGTGAAAAACAAACTGCTGGGACACTGCTAACTTAAGAACTTTTTAAGGTGTGCGCCAACGTCATCAATTAGTTCCTATCCAGTCTCCATTAGGCTCCGGGAGGATGGGAAAAATAAAACGTGGGGACATTTATCAAAGACCTCCATGACAGTTTTTCAATGCGTCTTAGTTGCCTTGTTTTTTCCTTAAAAGTTAGTGTATGCTCTGATGGTCACCCACTCCTATTAATCTCCAAAACCAAAAGAAGTGGAAAGAAAAACACCAACACTAAACCCCCCCCAATATAATATACAGTAAACAAATAAGGGAACTGAGGACACCGACATGAATCTGAGGAGAATGGCACTCATTTGTTGCTAGCTTGTTGAATCTTTGCTTCCATAGATGAATGCAGAGTGTGTGTGTGTGATGCATGGGTGTTGTGTTCATGTGTGCATATATTCACCCGCTAATCCATCAGTACCCCCCACCTCAGATTCCTATTGGCACAACTAATTTCCTAAACACCTCTCCCTCTTTTTCTCCCCTCACACATTCTCTCCTCTCTCTCTCTCACGCTCTTCACCACACCCAACCGCTGGTTCAGAGGGTTCATCTGAGGAAGAAAGCTCTCTAGCTGCTGGGCATCAGTGACTCACTGTGTCCAACCTTGGCCAGCCTCAGTGGACACAGCAGCACTTTTCAAAAGGGGCACAGCTCCAACAAGGCCATTCTAAGTCAATGGCACACTGCAACACACTTAAAATAATAATTTATTTTACAGACTGAGTATTGTGGGGAGCACTGGAGAAAATAATTTTTCTGAAAAAGCACGTAGATGTTGTGAAATGTATTTGTGGGGCTTCTGCACTTTTTTTTCCTAATGTGTTTGAATGTTTTAATGAATGACTGAATTAAAACCAGTTAAAGAGTTACAGACAGAAAAAAGATGAAGTGCCTATTCTGTGCTGAACACTGTGCTGTGAATACCCTGGCTTCCCTCTCTTTGCTGTGGGAATATCAGTGTGCAAACCCAAATAATGACAACACTGGAAGTGTCTGCAAAAAGGAGGAGAGCAGAGGAGCGGTGAGGAGAGAAGAAAAGAGGAGATACACCATGTGTTGAGTGAAGTTGACATGATGTGGTGCTGTTGGAAGGAGCAAGTGGAGATGTGAAGGGGGTTAAAAACAGAAAGTTGGAGTGAGCCCAATAACAGAGCTGGGAGACAGACAAAGAGAACAAGAAAAAAGGATACAAGGGGAAATTAAATTTTATTGTTTTCCTTAAAAATGTTCAAAGTATCACTGGCCCCAGGCTACAGAGGAGATGCAGCCCATGAAGCAGTTCACCATGTCCCTCATCTCCATATCTCATATTTTTTGTGGGTTAGGCCTGGGACTACACCTCAACTTGCCTTATTTAGATCAGTCACTCTGGTAAATTGACAACACAATGTGGCTACAGCTGACTGTCAGCCCACCAACACACTCAAAAATGTTCTAAAAACACACTTCTCAGTGCATCAGCTATGGGATTTGATCACAGCTAATGCTTCAACATCACCAGGTCAGTGTAATGCGTGGTCTTAGATACTGCATCTTTGACACTGCATCTTTGACCTATCCTCAGTGATCACAGTCAATTGGACAGATGCAAAAATAACAGACTTAATCACTTTTTCTACTTTTATAGACTGAAATCTAAACAGGTAAGTAATCATTTAACAGACTGGGTCAGTGTGTAGATCTGTAAGAGTGTGTGTTACTGCTGTGTCTCTCACCATAACCCTCAGGCAGGTCAGGTGGCGTATGCAGGTGTGTACGACTCATGTAGTTACGATGCCGCTGTGATCGAACCCGTCTCTCCTGAACCCGCTGCTCGCCTGGTGGACCACTGGCCTCAGCCCCGTTAACGGGTGTCACCACTGGTGTGTTCTCGTCCACTACGCAGCTCAGTGGACGCCCTGATGGGCTGGAGTACTCTGATGCTGGCCTGGGAGAGAGCAGACAGTGTTCTAGTGTATGCAGGCTATGGTCTTGTCTCGGTGCGCTCTTCTGAATGTAATTTAAATTTGGTTCTATTTTTAGTTTTTTCTAAATAAATACATATATATTACACAGATGAAACTTTTATAATAAATTGTAAATAATGGACACAGAGCATTTTGGCAAAAAAAAAAAGTTTTCTTTCTTTTACTGTGAACGTGATTAATGAAATAAGAACAACAACTTAGGTTTGCTTTCATTCCTAAGAGTTACATGCATAAACCATGTGAAATGAGACGGTGACTGGCTTTCTGAGAAATGTATGTGACTTCACCACGTTTACCTCTTACTTGTAGAAACTTTGCTGTGGAGAGATGTGTTACTGTGTGTTATGGATGTGATATTGGTTAAGTCTTAGGTACAAAAGGTTCATTTCTTTTCATGATACTGTACTTAGACATACGTACATACAAGGCTGGTGTAATTACCAGAAAACAGTTGTGTCATCTCATCAGTCCTTAAGGGTTTTTCCCCTCTGTAATAATAGTGATAACAGTAAGATCTAGACCTTACTTTGTAAAGTGTCCTGAGATGACTTTTGTTGTGATTTGGCGCTATATAAATAAAATTTGATTTGATTTGATTTTTTTGAAGAGGAAAATGTATTTCATGCTTATGGTTAAAGTGGTGTGAAGGATTATGGGCTACATTAAAACAAAGAAAGTACTCATAAGACTACAGTGGAATCTTAAAGTGCATTTGTGTGCCGCTTAACAGCAGGACCTTTAGAGCAGATACCTGATAAGTATACACAAACACAGACAGGCTGGCTTACTGACAATTGCAGTGCGTGTGTGCGTGTACCATGTCTGACCACTGTCTGGCTGTCCAAAGTTACTGACGCCTTGGCTATCTAACATTTTGGACGCTTGTCTGTCAATCCACAACCCGCCCCCTCTGGCCTCCACACACTCTTCCTCCCTCCCATTTCCTCTTTCTCTATGGTCTTTTACTTCCCGCCTCCACTTTCCCCATATACTCCTCCTATGTGTCCTATCACGACTCATGATCAAATTTTTTTGTTCTTAGTCAGGAGCAGTGACAAAAACCAGTGAATAATATTGAGAAAAGGGAAATTAAGCAGTTACAATCCACAGCCATCCAGCCTAAGAAAAAAACAAATTCTGGAGTTGGAGTAGAGACAAAATTTTACAGAGTTCCTTTTTGTTTTTGGTTGGTTAATCTGTAACATAATTGCTAGTAAAAGAAACTTGCATATGTTTACATACTCAAAAAAGTTACATTTTGTCTAAATGTCTACACGTTATTTGTACTGTTGCATTTTCAAGGCAGAAAATGAAAGGAAAAAAAAATAAAAATAGATCAGTCCACCATATTCCACTTTCTCCACTTCTTGCTGTTATTCTTCCTCTTCACTTATTCTCTTGTTTATCAGCCCTTTCCTGCTACTTACCAATCTTTCTTCATCACTCCACCATCTTCAACTCCTTCATTGCCCTACCACTTAACCTTTTGTTTACCATTCCCTGTCTGTCGTACCTTGTCCTGCTATGCTTGGCCTGGGGGCCACTGAGGATGTGTAGTAGAGGAGTAGAGTGGGTGAGGCGCTGGGGGTAGTTGTTTGCTTACTCCCCTAAAGGCTCCACTGATATGGGCCAAGAAGGAAGGCGACAGTTGTTCCTGCAGGAACAGGGGCCAAGTAAAACCTAGCTGCCCGACTGGCTGGCTAGTTTATTTATGTGTGTGCGAGTGTATTGCAGTGGATTGTGGGGTTGAGGAAACTGACAGAAACTCAGTCATTACTGACAGACTGATCCTGTGCTGTGAGTGGACGTTTTTTTTTCCTTAAACATGAAGTGGACGAGGAGAACCCTTTGCTCAGTGTGATTCCTGAACTAAAGGCAACAGTAGAATACTCACATAATGTGGAAAGCTTGCATTTTAATATTGCTCACTTTTCATAATAATATACATTATATGAATTCATAGCTGAAGATGTGTGCAAGATGTGTGTTGATGTACCTGGTAGGTCTCTCCCATTGAGTGGTACGTGTGATGTGGTTTAGGTACTGTATCCTTCCTGAAGCCGTCCGCCTTTCTTCCCAACTGTTTCGTGACAGATTAAGACCAAGATGGGAAAATGCTTTACATTTGTTATAAAGCAATGTCAACAAACAAACAAGTAAACAAACACTTTCGTCCACTTTCATCCACTTTCAACACTTCCAAGAACATGCCCAACCAACATCACTGTCAACAGCGTATCCTTCATTTTATAAGTTACATGGGAGAGTCACAAATAGTCTGAACCTTCTAAACGTGTCATTTTTTTTAAACACATCAAGGACTGCGTATGAAAAAATGAATGAGTAAATAAATGAAGTTGACACTCTCTCATCACAAACAAACACCCAGTCACTGGTGATAATACCAACCCATCGGGCAAGTCATTGTCAAACAGGCGACTGCAGTCCACCACCGGTCCTCCTGTCCCAATGCGATCCCTGGACTGAAGACTTACTAGAGTTTACAAAGACAAGGAAGACTGAAGCTCAATAAACCTTTCCTCAGCAAAGAGCTCAAATAATGATGATGATAATTTAGTACAATCAGCATTTTGTATTTAGTCCCTATGATAGCACTGTGATTCCAGGAATAACTGAGCTCTCTGTTCATATTCTGTATTAAAAGACAAGCAAGCGACAACTTGCAACGGTGCCCTCCCGTGGTTAATTAATTCAGCATCTCAGACAGTCAGGTTTCTTACCTACGATCTGTCCTCTCACAGTATCATTGTCATTGGGGCCCAGCTTATTCAGGTCCAGTCTCTGATCTGCCAGGAACAAACAAACAAGACAGACTGTGATTCAGTATCTGTTCCCATTTACAGCCATACACGCACATTCGGGTACTTCTAAAAAAATTACACTGCGGTACCTGGAATCAATACCATAAAAATAAGCGTGTTAAAAAAGCAAAGCAAGAGGATGTGTTGGTGGAGGGATATTGCTTCAGACACCAATGAGACGATGAAACCGTTTCCAACCACTGTGTTTCGTTTCTTTTTGTGTGTACGTGTGTGTGTGTGTGTGTGTGTGTTGGAGCCGTCTGTATCAGAAACCCTGCTGTATCAGTGCGGTACTGCTGAAAGGAGTGAGGAGGCTGTGCGTTTATACACAGTGCTCATGGCGATCTAAACATGGCCCAACAGGTCCAAGGGGTGTATTAGGTGTATTAACATCTACTGCATACTAGTGGGGTAAACATCTGTGTTTTGAATGGTTCAATTATCTGGAAAGGAGAAGTACACCTATTTAACACCGCTGTACCTTGTTCAAGGAGGAGACCAACAAGGAAAAATTAACCATTGCTAGAAACACATTTGGAACCTTAATCTTAATTTAGCTCTAACATAATAAATGATGTTTGCATGCAAGTGTGCCTTTAAAGTGTTACAATTCAAGAGTTTATCATGCAGAAAAAACACCTCTGCAGCTTCACTCTGTGTGAAAAGATTTAATAATGCAAAAATAAAATGACATAGCATGTGGTACCAAAATTTGTTAACAGGCTTGTTGTTTCTGGATAAGAAAGAACTCACTGTCTGCTAAGCACAGGATAGCACTGCCAAACACAGACAGCACAGGAACACAACTCAGGAAGAGTCAGAACAAGATCCAGACACAGATACACTGCACTCCCTCTCTCCCTCGCACACACAAAAACATACATAAACCCACAGTCCAGTCCAGCTGACCAGTACAGGGATGATATCAATTGGTATCTATTAACAATGGGTACCAATTGTTAATGGGACAACCTAGTTGCCCCTGGTGGCCAGGCAGTGATTGACAGCGCTGCCATCAGTAAGAAATTTCCCCACAGTGATTAATAAAGTATAAACAATTTTTTAAAAATGCACACAGTGTGTGTTTTGCAGGGGTTCTGCAGGGCTAATGACTGACTTAAATATGAAAAACTAAAACATATTCAGGTATGAGCGTAGGAGAGGAAAGGAAACATGCAGAAGAAATAAAAAGGCTGAGTGAGAGAGAGGAAGATAAAGAGACCCCCCCCCGGATCTCCATTTGATAATACTAAAACCCAATCCAGACTGGGTTTCTCATGTCTTTGTCATGGCTTGCTTGGATGATCTTGTATGCAACAGTGCATCTGTTAGTATGTAAAGGCTAAGCACAGCCAAAGAATCCAATAGCTTGTTTCCAGACTTTTTGTGTGCGTGTGTGTGCGCGCATCTGTTCCGGATTCATGTCTAGACTAAACAGTGATGGTCTAAGCCTTACACGGCTGCAATAGTAAGCGGATCTTTCTCTTAAATAAGAGAATGGGAAATCAGGGAAAGAACATTTACAAACCTTTACAGGATAGGTTTGGGATTTTTTCAAGTTTGTCTTAAAACAATACTGATGTGGTTATATGTACATAAGAATAGGTCTTGGACACTATAAATATGGCTTCTCTTCACACTGGCCCTGAAGTTTATCACCTGGAATTTGACTGTACTACTATGCAAAGCCCTGCTTATGTGCAAAAACTACCCTTAAAACTTTTGTCAAGGTTCAAGTGCAACCTCAGCAGTTCCACTAAGCTAAATGAAGTTGGTATCCTCCAAAGTTACAGTGTGTTAAAGACATGTTTTTGTTTCCCATATAGTAGTTCCTCACCATGCTTTGGGCCAATCTTCTAGTAGCTGTATATAGATTTTGTTGCTGGAACTGGCTTACAAACAGAGTGAATCAGAAATGCAGCAAAAAATAGTGCTGTAGACGAATCCACATTCAGAAGCATACAGGTACAAGATCAGATATCTCTCTTATCTCTTGGGAGATAGTTTTAAGATAGACCTCAAAAATAAAAATCCAGAACCTGTCTTTTAACCACGAGCCCTCACCGCACCATTCAGTTCCTCAGAGCTATGAACATAGTGTTACAAGCTACTAAGTACATAAATATGCCAGTACATGCATGAAGACTCCCAATAGCCGAGTGTGGTTTCATGTTGTTTCATTTAGCTCACGCTTAGCTCATCTGTCTCAGCATGTATATGCCTGTATGTCTACCCCAAAACTGTAGTATCAGTATGACAATAAGTATATACTGTGTAATTAGTTAATACAGCAACACTATAAGGTTAAAAGCAGACTAACGTGTAGTCGGTCAAGTCATTTTGAAAAACTTATGGAATGTGTGTTAGCGACATTGTGGGTTCACAAGTGGGGCAGACAACTTAGAGGTCTGTGTCTGCAATGCTACAGGAAATGGTGCTCAGTGCAGAGCCAGACAGACTTCTAGTAAACTAGAAAATCATGCCAGAACCCTTTCTGGTTTGCAAATGTGTGTGTGTGTAGGTGTGTGTGAAGCAGGTTTGTGAGTTTGTGTTTGCACTGAACAAAAAAGTGAGCCATGTGTATGAATGTGACTTCTAGGAACCAAGGCAATTCCAGTAAAGTCTTCTGTGTGTTCCTGCTTTATTTTATGTTTGTGTGTGTGCGTGTGCGTGTGTGTGCGTGTGCGTGTGTGCATCTTGGTCAAGCCACAGGCTGGTCAATGCCGGTATGTCTGTTGCACACAGGACATGGACAAAGGGATAAAGTGAGCACGGCTGTCTTGTCATAGTTGTCTTGTTCACTTCCTGCGGCTATGATACTGTATAATTTGCGCCATGTTGTGTCTGTTTCTGGAAGTGGTGGGTACATCTAAGGGCAAATCATCTGGCACTCAGCATGACACCAGGTCTCCGTGGCTGTCAAGGTTCTTCTTGTGGCAACACTGATGCTTTTGTGGGTTTTGGTGGATTAGGGGAGTGAGCCAAAAATGCTGTTTAGGAGAAAACATAAAGGTTGCTGGAAACTATTCTGAAGTCTTATGTAAAGTATTTAGCTCGACAGATTGGAGTTGGTTTAACAGGCCGTTACATCTGGGCCAGCCAAACTACAACTGTCTTCATTCATGGAAGTATCCAACTATGCAGTTTGATAAAAAAAAAGCATCAAACAAATAGCAATTATATTCAGACAGACAATTTCTAAAGTGGTTGTGGTGAATGGCTGTGTGGAACAGATGCATGAAATTAAGGGAAAAGGTCAAATACATAATAAATGGGGGAAAATGCAACTTTGCGTGATGGTTTTAGCACATATCTGAGTGTCTATGTTTAAGACAGGTCAGGAAGATGGACTGAAGGAAAATAGGAGAATGAGTGGAAGGAATGTTAATTTGACAGTCTGGACTGCACTTCAGTGTGTATATGCCACTGTCAACTGACTAACACTGCCAGCAAGGCAGACAGGGCTAAGGGGGGGAAAAAAAAAGAGCCTGAATCAGTTGGAAATCAAAGGGGACAACACAGGGGCAGCAGTCTGAAGCCATGCAGATGGGAAACCATCTAATCCAGAGTATGTGCATGTCTGAGAAAAGATGCTGCTGTTGCTTCATATGTTGCCCACATTAGCCTGGGATCAACTTTTTTGGATTATTATAGAACAATCCCAAAACAGTATCTAATTCTTCTTAATTTTGCATCTTTTGCCAGATGGCTACAATAAGTACATCAGCAACACTAAGCTTCCAAAAAAACAAAACAAAAAACAATGTTTTGCTTCCTTGACAGAAATTTGTAATGCTCTAAAATGAATTTTTGTGAATGATTTGGTACCAGGCATTAGATGTCTACAGCGAGAAATATTTCTGAAATGTGTTGGAGAAAGAAGTTGCCTGTGTATTGTAGCCATAAATTGCGGCAGCAGCAGACTGCTAGCTGGGAATGGGGCAGTGGCCCTGTTAAATGAGTGACACAGTCTGATAGCAGGATAGGTACAGTGCCTTGCGAAAGTATTCGGCCCCCTTGAACTTTGCGACCTTTTGCCACATTTCAGGCTTCAAACATAAAGATATAAAACTGTAATTTTTTGTGAAGAATCAACAACAAGTGGGACACAATCATGAAGTGGAACGAAATTTATTGGATATTTCAAACGTTTTTAACAAATAAAAAATTCAGTGAGGATCTCTGAATGATCCAATGTTGACCTAAATGACTAATGATGATAAATAGAATCCACCTGTGTGTAATCAAGTCTCCGTATAAATGCACCTGCACTGTGATAGTCTCAGAGGTCTGTTTAAAGCGCAGAGAGCATCATGAAGAACAAGGAACACACCAGGCAGGTCCGAGATACTGTTGTGGAGAAGTTTAAAGCCGGATTTGGATACAAAAAGATTTCCCAAGCTTTAAACATCCCAAGGAGCACTGTGCAAGCGATAATATTGAAATGGAAGGAGTATCAGACCACTGCAAATCTACCAAGACCTGGCCGTCCCTCTAAACTTTCAGCTCATACAAGGAGAAGACTGATCAGAGATGCAGCCAAGAGGCCCATGATCACTCTGGATGAACTGCAGAGATCTACAGCTGAGGTGGGAGACTCTGTCCATAGGACAACAATCAGTCGTATACTGCACAAATCTGGCCTTTATGGAAGAGTGGCAAGAAGAAAGCCATTTCTTAAAGATATCCATAAAAAGTGTCGTTTAAAGTTTGCCACAAGCCACCTGGGAGACACACCAAACATGTGGAAGAAGGTGCTCTGGTCAGATGAAACCAAAATCGAACTTTTTGGCAACAATGCAAAATGTTATGTTTGGCGTAAAAGCAACACAGCTCATCACCCTGAACACACCATCCCCACTGTCAAACATGGTGGTGGCAGCATCATGGTTTGGGCCTGCTTTTCTTCAGCAGGGACAGGGAAGATGGTTAAAATTGATGGGAAGATGGATGGAGCCAAATACAGGACCATTCTGGAAGGAAACCTGATGGAGTCTGCAAAAGACCTGAGACTGGGATGGAGATTTGTCTTCCAACAAGACAATGATCCAAAACATAAAGCAAAATCTACAATGGAATGGTTCACAAATACACATATCCAGGTGTTAGAATGGCCAAGTCAAAGTCCAGACCTGAATCCAATCGAGAATCTGTGGAAAGAACTGAAAACTGCTGTTCACAAACGCTCTCCATCCAACCTCACTGAGCTTGAGCTGTTTTGCAAGGAGGAATGGGCAAAAATTTCAGTCTCTTGATGTGCAAAACTGTTAGAGACATACCCCAAGCGACTTACAGCTGTAATCGGAGCAAAAGGTGGCGCTACAAAGTATTAACTTAAGGGGGCTGAATAATTTTGCACGCCCAATTTTTTAGTTTTTTATTTGTTAAAAAAGTTTGCAATATCCAATAAATTTTGTTCCACTTCATGATTGTGTCCCACTTGTTGTTGATTCTTCACAAAAAATTACAGTTTTATATCTTTATGTTTGAAGCCTGAAATGTGGCAAAAGGTCGCAAAGTTCAAGGGGGCCGAATACTTTCGCAAGGCACTGTAGCTGTCAAACTGCTGCAGCAAGTTAAAACAGAGGCACACGAAAGACAGTCACCCTGGTTCCTGGACATAAGGTGTGTGTGTGTCTCTTGCTGAAGACTATATCTGGTACAATCAATTGTATTTCTGAATATACTGTATGTGCCGAGTGTAGGATATGAGTGCATACATGTGTTAATAGAGGTGAAATGTCTCGCACTGAGCACCCAGCTGATGTTTAGTTATTAATTTACTTATTCTGTATTCCTTGTCAAGTATCCCCATCACCTTCACTAGCATCTTTGTGTAAAGGCTAAGGTGAGCGTGTAAAGTTCAGACACCAGAGACCTGTTTTCAGTGAGAGTCCAAAAACACAGAGTATGCGCTTGTGTACACACAAACACAAACAGATACTTACAGCCAGTGTCTTTAAGTCTGTTGATGGCATTGGACAGGAGGCGGACACAGCCCAGGAAACCTGCGCCCTGCTTTTTGTGGATCTTCTTGTGGTTCCATACACTAATAGTGATGGAGTCTGCCTTGCCAATGTATCTGAAAGGGGAAAAGAGGAAGTGAAAAAAGGTCACTAAACCAGAAAAGAGTGATGACACAGAGAAATCGTGTCATTTTGTACATCTCAAAGAACAGAGTAGGCTTTTATCAAGTGACAGGATATGAAACTTGGAAAGTAAATGAACTCATAAGCTAAAACACCCCTGTACTCACTAAACCTTCCAAAACATTAATACACCAATCAAAACACAGACAAAAACACTTCAATTTTGCATCAACTACTTCTCCATGACAGAATGAGAACACACACCATGTTTGCGGTGTAGACTTTAAGTCTGTGTAATAAGTCAAATTAGCCAATTTCGAGGTAACCTGGTCCAGCTGAGACCTGTCTAGTTGTGGTTGACGAACAGAGGAAGTCCCTTTGATGTGCTACACCACTGTCTGAGACCCAGAAAGATCTCAAAGTAGACACATTCAACATTCAAATGCACAATCACTGATACACATGCACAATCACACATAATTACAGCCCAGCAGCTACGTCTGCATGTGTATTGTGGATCTCTTTAAGTGTCCAGTGATTTTGTTTCTAGGTAGTGTCTGAAAATCTATACAGGATGGAGTGGCAGAAGTTAGCATCTGCTCACTTTCACAGTTTCTCTTAGCAGCTACTGATGTGTCCAGGCTTTGCTGATTATGATCTCATTCTTATGTTGTATTGAAACACTATGTCATGACTGTTTTTAACATGACAGCTGCAATTTTATTTTCCAATTAAAAGCTCATTTGCTTTTAAGAAGCGAATATTTACAACCTAAATCTTACAAAAATAATTGTTAGACCAAACAATGTCCCGGGCATTGTATTTTTTGGTGCATTCTGTTTCAGTTTATTTGCCTGCGTTTTGTGTACTGTGCATTTCAGACCATCTCTGTGAAATATTTCATGTTGTAACTTTAATGCTCTTGCTTTCACACGGTGGTTCTGAGATTAACAGGTCAATGTGATGCAAAGTTGTCTTGTGCAAAGTATCATTTAATAAAAAAAGAGAACTGAAACAGCTGACTAGACAATGGGTGTCTGTTTACAACAGACAGGTGGAACAAAATGCTATTTTCCTTACTCAACAATTACAAAGCCAAAGGCAGACGTTAGGAAACCTTTCCCACTGACATAACATTGCAGGTACTGAGGTAATTATTAAAACGTTGGTATCAACAGCACATGTATACATATGGGAGAGGGCTGAACTGCTGAAAGGAGAGTTAGCTGACAGCACTGGTTAACAGCTGGACTGCAAAGCAGATAAAAGATAGTGACAGTAGAGTGACTACAGGCTGAATTGACTGTCACTCCCTGTCTTCTTGCATAATGGCAAGGCCTCTGTATACTTAGGTTAGTAGAGTAAATTCATTTGCTTTGACCAGTCAAAAAGGACACACAGGACTAAATGTCTGAACAGAACTGCTGTCTAAACAAGCCCAGAGATGCACAAACCAGTTCTCAGTGTGTCGCCATCTGAAAATGGTCAGTAGCACCTACTGGCTACTTTGCCTTCAGTTCATCAGCGTTATTTGCATCTCTGTGCTGAAATACTGTATTATCCTAAATTCTTTCAAAATACTTCTAGGCTTGGTCTTCTTGGACACAGTATTTGTTATGACAATGCAACAGCTGCAAGATGACAACAAAAACTATGTCAGAATGTCCAATAAAAATGCCAAGTAAAAATTAATATACTGTTGAATTAATATACACCTTATGTTGTAGTCTTTTCCCAAATACTGTTACAACACAAATAATAAAAATGTATTAATTTTATAAGCAATTAATAGTTAATATTATCATTTCAGGTTCCTCTACAGGGTTCAGAGAGAGCAGTATGTGCAGGATTCACCGAGTGTTGACTTTTTCTATTCACTGTGTTAAATTATTTCATTTCAGTTAAGAATCTACTGCTAAATCTACTTTAGAAAATATAACTGGAAGCTCGAATATAATTAACTACTAAATGCTGATGGTCAAGTACAGAAGTAACACAATTAGAAAGTATCATGCTCAATCTCTCTCCAACACACACACACACAAACACACACACACACACACACACACACACACACACACACACACCCATATTATGTTTCCATTACTTTAGGGGACATTACACCAACTTACATTCATTTCCTGGAGACTTACCCTAACTGTAACCATCACCACTACCAACCTATTTCTAACCCACCCGCTAACTTTAAACCAAATCACCACTCTAAAATATAATGATATACATTTTGGGGACTTACTGTTTGTCCCCATAAGGATGTTGAGTCCCTACAGTGTAATGGTTTAAACCGATCTACGTCACCACAACATGAGTAATAACAGGCCACACACACACACTTCATCAAGTGGTTACTGCAACAACAAAACTAAGGATAAGCACTCCTAATCCCACAGACAGCAGTGGAGGGGAAAATGCTTGGGTCAAGTCCAGATTAGCTTTCCAGGACATACTGAACCCAGACCTGCAGGACTTCCCAAACCTTTTCATCCCAGGAAACATACATTACACAGGGAAATCAAAAACATGGTTTCTTTCCAGATCAGTTATATTTCATATTATGAATTCATATGTTGGGCAGCCTCCAGTTGTTAACATCTGTAAAGACAAATATAAATCAGTGTGGAGATTCTACAGCTCTGTCCGCCTCTTCAGTAAGAAGTACCTTGATCTGATTTATGAAGCTGAGTTGATGCCAAAGCATTCTTCTTCACTCCCCTCAATGCTTGCGGTTACATTACTTTTACATTGACCCCACCACCAGCATGTCAAAACTTGGCTTAGTCAGAATTTCCTTTACTTAAATGAAGGCATATCTGAATTTATTGTTATCACCCCCCAGTTGGATGGAAGTGCAGTTGATCTTGGCACATATGCCCCCCCGCTCTCTAATGCGGTAAAAAATCTGGGGGTAATTTTTGACGTCAATTTCAACTTTGATAAACAGATCAAGTCAGTGGTTAAATCCAGCTTCTGCCAGCTAAGACTGCTCACAAAGGTAAAGCCATTTCTCTCTCATAGTGACTTAGAGAAAGCCATTCATGAGTTTGTGACTTCACGGCTTGACTATTGTAATGCCCTGTACTCCGGGTTATCCCAGTCATCACTCTCCAGGCTCCAGCTTGTTCAGAACGCGGCTGCCCGTCTGCTGACAAACACTCATCGGCATGCCCATATCACTCCGGTTCTGCTATCCCTTCACTGGCTGCCTGTTAAATGGAGAGTAGATTTTAAGGTCTTGCTTTATGTTTTTAAAGCCATGCACGGCCTTGCCCCTC